AGGCTTGGAGGATGCATTTTAAGTTGAAGTTGCTTTCTTTCCACCTCTTCCTCCCTCCCTCCCTCCCTCCTTATTTATTTGCTTTCTTTTACCCCTCTCTCTTTCTCTCTCTCTTTTCCCTTTTCTCCCTCCCCCATCTATTTGCTTTCCTTCCTTCCTCCTTCCCTTTCTTTCTTTCTGTCTGTCTTTCTGTCTCTCTTCCTTGCTTTCACCCTCCCTCCCACAAACTATTTGCTTTCTTTGTTTCTGTTTCTCTCTTTCATTTCTTTCCACCTTTCTCTTTCTCTCTTCCTTCTTTGTCCTTCTTCCCGCTCCCCCATCTGTTTGCTTTCTTTGTTTCTTTCTCTCTTCCTTCCTCCCCTTCCCTCCCCCATCTATTTGCTTTCTTTCTACCTTCCTTTCTCTTGGTTTCTCTTTTACCCCCTCCCTCCTTCCCCCACCTATTTGTTTCTCTTTCTCTTTCTTTCCAGCTCTCTCTCTCTTTCTCTCAGACAAATAAATATTGTTATCAAACAAGCAAATATCATTGGACAAATAAATATCTTTATCAGTATCTGTTTTTACCCCTTTTGTTTTTATTCTTGGCAGTCTCATTTAATGTTAATAAAAAGCAAATTTGCGTATTTTCCCATTAAAAACATGTGTGATATTCATATCTTGAGGCTCTCAAACATCTGACGCTTATTCTATGTGGCTCTTACGTTAAGCGAGTTTGGGCACCCCTGATTTAACCCAAACTCCCCCTCTCGAGAATATCTCTTTGGGCTCAGCGGGGCCACCGTTAACTGACGGTTTCTTTCGCCTCCTCAGGCCGTGGCCTACCGCCAGATGTCCTTGCTGCTGCGTCGACCCCCCGGCCGAGAGGCCTACCCCGGTGATGTGTTCTATCTCCACTCCCGTCTCCTGGAGCGCGCGGCCAAAATGAACGACTCCTTCGGTGGCGGTTCTCTGACTGCCCTCCCCGTCATCGAGACTCAAGCCGGCGACGTGTCGGCCTACATTCCGACGAACGTCATTTCGATCACTGATGGGCAGGTAGAATCCAGCAACACTGTGACCGTGTGTGGATGGGAAGACAGGCGTCTGTATGAGTGAGGCAGGGAGGTGGTGTGCTAGAGGCGTGTTCTGGTTTGTGTCCCAGAAGAGCAGAGCACCAGAAACAGTTGCCAAGTGTCCTGTTTGAATTGTGGTGTTACCCAAAACATCGAGGCTACCAGTTGGAATGTTATAGTAACAACAGTCCTTGGTTTTGCCAATACACTTTTGACAAAGAGAGCCATTCTGGTGTAGGGGTTAAGAGTGGCGGACTCTAATCTAGAGAGCCGAGTTTGATTCCCCCCACTCTTCCTCGTGAAGCCTGCTGGGTGACATTCGGGCAGTCATGGTTCTCTGAGAACTCTCTCAGCCCCACCTGCCTCACAAGATGCCTGTTGTGGGGAGAGGAAGGCAATGGTAAACCGCTTTTGAGACACATGAGGCCTGCTGGGGGACCTTGGGCCAGTCTCAGTTCTTTCAGAACTCTTTCAGCCCCACCTGCCTCACAAGGTGCCTGTTGTGTGGAGAGGAAGGGAAGGTGATTGTCAGCGGTTTTGAGACTCCTGAAGGAAGGGAAGTGTGCGGTATAAAAACCAACTCTTCTTCATCCTGCATTGTTGACCAGGGTATTGGACTAGGTGGCCTCTGTAGCCCCTTCCAATTCTCCGATTCCACCTCTGAGGGTGTCCTGCCTGGGATCAAGCAGAGCCAGGGCTTTTCCATTGTGGCTCCAGCTCTGCGGAAGGGGCTCCCTGAAGAGGCGAGAGGGGCCGCCTCCTTGGAGACCTTCAGGAGGCTCCCGCCCAGGCCTGCCTCTTTGCCAGGGCTTTTGGTGGGGATTGAACGCCAGGCATCCGTTAAGGGGAGATGTGGAGCTTGTTATGTGTTGTTTTTAATTGGAAATATTTTAACTTTTATCGTAAGCTGCCCTGAACGACGAGGGAAGGCGGGATCTAAGTGTTTCAATAAATAAAAATAGGTCAACGATGCATTCAGGCTTGCTAGACCCCAGTTCCACGCCCTCTTCCGCCGCTTCTCATCCTCCTTGGTGTCAACAGTCTGAAATGAAC